AATTGATGTGGTCGCGGAATTGGTCTAGAGCAGGCTGGCCATGTGGCCAGATGACAAAGGTGTCATCAACGTACCTCTTCCATAAGGTCGGGCGTAGAGTGGCAGTCTGGATGGCGTCAGTTTCAAATTTTTCCATGAATACGTTGGCTACAACCGGAGATAGGGGGGAGCCCATTGGGGTGCCCTCAGTTTGTTTGTAGAAAGTTCCATTCCAGGTGAAGTATGTGTTGGTTAAGCAATGTCTCACCAGGGGGGGTACATCAGTATGCAGTCCTTGATGAACCAGGTCTTCAATGATAGCGATGGTGTCAGGTACCGGGACTTTGGTGAACAAGGACACCACATCAAAACTGACAAGCAGGTCGTTTGGGGACAGGGAAATGTCTTTGATTGTCGATACCAGGTGAGTAGAATTTAGTACCGCAGAGGTGGTTTTTCCAGTGAAAGGTCGCAGTATATCAGCCAGAAAACGTGCCAGTTTGTAGGTGGGGGAGCTGATAGTAGAGACGATGGGACGAAGGGGTGTATCTTCTTTGTGTATCTTTGGAAGGCCATATAATCTTGGTGGTCTGGCAGCAGAGGGTTTCAACAAGAACTGTTTGTTCTCATCAATTAATGCTGTTGAATCAGAGATAATTTTGTTCGTTTTGGTGACCAGGCTGTTGGTGGGATCTCTTTTTATTTTTGTATAGCTGCCATCGTTAAGTAGTTCTTGAATTTTGTTGTTATATTCTGTTTTGTCCATGATGACAGTGGCATTGCCTTTGTCGGCTGAGAGAACGACAATATCATCCCTCTTTTTTAATTGAGATAATTCAAAACGTTCGTCTTTGCTGATGTTGCTAGGTGGCAACTTAGCGTTTTTGAGGGTTGCAGCGATTTCAGATCTTGCTACGTCTGCAGAGATGTGACTCAAGCCCTTGAGTGCAACGTCGACATGGGCAATTATATCATTAACCGGTAAGTGTCTCGGTGTGACAGCAAAGTTTAGACCTTTAGCTAAAACGGATTTCAGACCATCAGAAATGGAACTGTTACTGCGATTAATTACGACTTTGTTGACGTCTATCTTTTCGGTGTGTGGATCCGATTTTTTGCTGGAGAGGTGATTGAATTTGGAAATCAAATTGTCCCTACATTTGTTCGACATAGTGGCAGCCGAAGAGGTAGTCATATTGTCTACATGTTCCCAATCCGATGTAGACATTGTTGCTGTCAATTTTTAGTGTGATTTGTAGAGTGTCTTGTCTAACTGATCGAGTTCGGTGCGTGTAAGTCTGATTTTTTCCGAGATAAGAGCGAAGCTAGTTCTAGCTAGAATTCGTTTTGCATTGAGAGAAGTTGCAACAGCAGAGGTTAGTGTAAATGCGGTTGGTATTACCTTAGAGTCGCGGCATCTCTTCAGAAAGGTGAGAGACTCGATTAGTTGAGCCTTCTTATCCCGAAGTCTGTTGAATGATCTTAAGGATGTGTGGAATCCCTCCCCGTAGAGGCGGTTAAATTTCGATTTAAAGCTTTCGTGACTGCAATGATTCATCTTCTTTGGTTCTTTCGGTAAAGTCACGTAGAATGAGAATAAAATAATAAATTGATAAAATAAAATAACACAATAATATTCTCACGACGTTTCGGCCACAACACAAGCGGCCTTCATCAGGTGAAGGGACGAGACTGTCTGGTAGGACAGCGCTGGAGTGAAAGAGCCACGTTCAGATCACGGCCTTTAAGCTGTGTGAGAGGAACAAAGCGCCTTGACAAAGGAATTAGCATATAATTTAGCATTGAAATGGCTGAATGATTAGCTTGTGACTGGTCACAAATAGCTATGTTAAAAGTTAAAGCATACACATCCGCAGAGGCACCCCTTGATAAAGGAATTAGCATAGCATTTAGCATTGAAATAGCTAAGTTAAAGCATACACATCCGCAGAGGCACCCCTTGACAAAGGAATTAGCATAGAATTTAGCATTGAAATAGCTGAGTGATTAGCTTGTAACTGGTCACAGAAATAGCTACGTTAAAGTCAGAGCATACACATTCACCGAGGCACTTAGTACAAATCAAACAGGAGAATTTAGCATTGAAATAACTAGGCGAATTTAGCATTGAAATAACTGAGTGATTAGCTAGTAACTGGTCACAGAAATGACTATGTTGAAGTCAAGGCCTACACATCTGAGCTATTCACAGTACTATATAGTGAACCAATAAAAAACTAAAATATAAATTACCTTAATGTTATCAATAAACTCTATATTCTCCAATCAGCTAAGCTACCAACAATAAGTCGTTATATATCACAATGCTATATGGCGAAAAAATGGGTGGATTCTTACCCTCAACTTTAGCACCACGGATAGCTACGGGCCCCGTTCAGACGGACGAGTTCATCCATGGTCGGAACCGAGGAGGGGGAGAGAGACAGCTGCGAGGCGCTATTATACTCCATGTTGTAAACCATACCATTAACCGTGGTGTGAGAGGTATTAAGAGTCAATGCTGGCGAAAGAGCTGCGGTCTGAAGGTCATCGTAAAAATACCATTAATTAAGAACAGAAATGGTTTTAAACATCTTTCCAGTGGTTACTAAGCCAGAATCCATCTTCTCGGTTGAAATTGTCTCTGTGCTTGTATATGTGAATGGCCTCATGAACGAATCTCTCATGGTAGCCGGTTGGTTTGCAAAGAACCTCCGTCTTGGAGAAGTCAATGTCATGTGAGCCCACTGAATTATAACAGTGATCTGCCACGGCAGAGGAGTTCGTCCTACCGTGTTTCAAGTCTGCTTTATGTTCGCGGATGCGGTCCGAGATATGTCGTTTGGTTTCTCCAATGTAGCTACTCCCACAGAGGCACTTTAGTTTGTAAACGCCCGGGTACTGTATGTCTGGAACAGCATCTTTTACAGATGGAACTAAATCACGGATTTTATGTACTGTGTTGAATCGGACCTGGATCTTGTTTATTCAGGATTTTGGAGATCTTTTTAGTGACCCCTGCAATGTAGGGTAAGGTGATGGTTTTGAGTGGCTCCACAAGAGAATCCTTCTTCATGACTGGAGTGATGGCTTTGCGGATTGTGTAGTCGGAGTAACCATTAGCCCTGAGAGCCTGGTGTACGTGCTTGAGTTCACTGGTAATGTGTTCCTGGTCGGAAATGCATTGGGCTCTATGGTATAGAGTCTTGATGAGGGAGTTTCTTCTGGGATGGATGGTGGTGGGAATCCGGTTTTCAAGTAAGCATCTGTATGGGTAGCTTTCCTGTAGACAGAGTGGCTCATTGAACCATCATGTCTCCTTTTAATTAAGACATCCAAAAAGGGTAGTTTGCCATCTTTTTCGACCTCCATGGTAAATCTGATGGCTGGGTGTATGGAATTGATGTGGTCGCGGAATTGGTCTAGAGCAGGCTGGCCATGTGGCCAGATGACAAAGGTGTCATCAACGTACCTCTTCCATAAGTTCGGGCGTAGAGTGGCAGTCTGGATGGCGTCAGTTTCAAATTTTTCCATGAATACATTGGCTACAACGGGAGATAGGGGGGAGCCCATTGGGGTGCCCTCAGTTTGTTTGTAGGAAGTTCCATTCCAGGTGAAGTATGTGTTGGTTAAGCAATGTCTCACCAGGGGGGGTACATCAGTATGCAGTCCTTGATGAACCAGGTCTTCAATGATAGCGATGGTGTCAGGTACCGGGACTTTGGTGAACAAGGACACCACATCAAAACTGACAAGCAGGTCGTCTGGGGACAGGGAAATGCCTTTGATTGTCGATACCAGGTGAGTAGAATTTAGTACCGCAGAGGTGGTTTTTCCGGTGAAAGGTCGCAGTATATCAGCAAGAAAACGTGCCAGTTTGTAGGTGGGGGAGTTGATAGTAGAGACGATGGGACAAAGGGGTGTATCTTCTTTGTGCATGTCCTGTTTACGTGACAACCCTTACTAGTTTGCTGTCGTGTGTGGCGGGTTTTAACGACACATTTACGCGATCTAACAAAAAAAACTTATGGATGATATTGGTCGCGAAAGCCTACGTGTTAAAATGAAAGTACTTAATAGATACTATTAGATAACTTCATATACCTATTTAACAAATATAAAAACCTTTTACATCAAGCCCCGTGGTATTACCATGTGCTCTGAAGGGCCATTCCTCGAAATGTCACCGATTATATTATTTGGTCGATGGACGAGACGAGTGACAAGAATGGCAGCCCAAGGTAGAGAAGACGCACGGAGCAGGCGACCTTCGTGGAGATGGAGCGGTGAGGTCAGCCGCTTAGAGGGATTGTTGCCATCACGGGGGGACCGTGGTGCATGGTGACGACTGTGGGGTGGCCCTCACCCAGAGGTATTGTGATCCGAGGACAACGCAAACCATCCGTGTGGGTGCGCGCTTGAACGACAGAGCATCTACTCCGCCTCTTGAGTGAAGAGTCTTTGAGAGCGGAATGGGAGTTCAAAAGAAGTCAGCTTGTTGTGAAAGAGCCCAACGAAGAAGGTCGCTGGGTTTAATCTTCCACGAAGCTGCTCACGGTCCACCCTAAACCGCATCCACTTAACAAACCACGGCAGTAGATGCGGATGCCCTGATGCACAAATGCAAATACGGCTGTGGTCATCCTGAACACACCGTAGTACAACGTGTAACGACGCAATGGCCCGATCCACAAAAATACATCACTGCGATACTCCACTCAGCTGGCTCCTGACGCGGTTGTCTGCTTGCTTGACCACCACCTGAATGTGAAATTGTAGTTGTTGCCCTGCATCGAACATCAGCAGCCATACGACAAGGAGAAGTTAGAGTCTCCAACAAACCCTCCACCCCTCACCCCCCAACCCCTCACCCCCCAACCCCTCACCCCCTCACCCCCCCACCCCCCCCAACCCCTCACCCCCCCCCCCCCCCCAACCCTCACCCCCCCACCCCCCCCCAACCCCTCACCCCCCAACCACTCACCCCCCCCAACCCCTCACCTCCCCAACCCCCATCCCTCCCCCCGCAACTCCGACAACCGGAGACGTCACGTGACGCTACTGTATTTAAAGGGCGATACGACGCCACGTGTGAAGCCACGTGCCGGCGTCCAACAGCTGCACTCGCATATCGTGCGTTACGATAGTGAAGTGCACTTACTACACACAACACGCCTCCCACACACAACACTCCCCCTACACACTACACTGCTCCTACACGCGACACTGCTCCTACACACGACACTGCTCCTACACGTGACACTGCTCCTACACACTACACTCCTACACACTACACTGCTCCTACACACTACAACGCTCCGCTCCTACACACGACACTCCTACACTCCTGCACCACGCCCGTCACGGTGTTTGTGCGTTCACGTTGGGCACTCCACCAGCAGTGGATATCTCGAACAAGTCAGCCCACTTGTGCTTTGTGGGTTGGAACTCGTGCCTGCTGAAGTTCCCCACTCCCAGGAGGAAGGCCGCGTGACCGATGGGATGTTGTAGGACTTTTTTAATGTGGAGGGGTACAGATATGCGAGGGACTCGTACTGTGTGTTTTGTGTTACCGTCATGTAATCTACAATGACGCGAATTTGTATTGTGATGCACGCTATATGAATCTGGTACATTGGCAGCTTACACTGTGCTTGATGATAATGGTGGTTTTCATTGTGGTTTCGAAAGTTTAGCATTCTGATAATGATCATTAATGTTGCAAGGGTTATGAATTGCAATGTCAGAATCGTATAGACTGCGGAAAATCCGACCAAGTGCTGTGAAGCTCTTTATCACGGATGCCCAGCAATGTGCCTCAATCATTGGGGCACTAAGGACCGTGAGAATTACATCCGTGCTCTCGGGTGTTGAACGAGTGGGGTGGGATGTGGCACTGTTCAAAAGAGACTGAGATGAGAACCTCTCGCCCTTCCGGTCCCACCAGTCTTCACGCTGCTGTACTCGCTGCACACATTCCACAGTGGAATATTTTTTTGTGGTGTTTGTCAACCATCTGTGACCCCCCCCACCCACCCACCCTACGCACGGCACGAGTGAACGGTGACCGCCATGGCATGAACTAGCACGTGGTGGTTGGTGGTGGTGATAATGACGATGCTCGACGGCTTTGTGTGTGTCTGTAAGCCATCGCGTGAGCAGGCCAAGACCATCGGGCTCACTTAACCCACAAGCGGCCACCACCACCGCCCGTGGTTGTCATCACAGAATTGTAACAACGAAAGAGATATCGGCAGGGCCTTCCCGTCCGTGACCTTCCCGTCCGTGACCTTCTGACACCGGTACTGTACGGCAATGAGCCTTGCTCGTGGCAGGAGGGGACTTGTGTCCACTCGCCGTGTAGCCTGCACTGTAATTGTTGCCGATATTGTTTGTTCATCGATTTGAGCACGTGCTCCAGTGTCGACAAAAGTCCCCCCTAAAGAGATTCATTTGAACGAGCCGGCTGAGCCAATCTGCCGTCTCCATCACAATTGAAAGGACATTTTACTAAGGGACTGCCCGGTAAACGTGGAACGTTCGGCCATCGTTGGTCCAACAGTTCAAACCACGTGCCAAATGTTTTCCCAACCTTCATCGTTTACTAGTGGGTGTACATTTCGGCCACATTTACAGTTTTATAAGGTAGAATCTATTTGCTATTGTGCGGCGGCAGCAGCACTGACATTTAACATCTTCGTGATTACAAAGCGATCGCAAAATCGGGCAAGATGAGATACAAAAAAAATTACGTATGCAACAAATATTCAAAAACATTTCCGATGTACACGTCATCCAAATGTCTCACGAATAGATTATAAAAAATATTTATGGGTTTTAACCCTTTGTGGCAAAAAAAACAGGAGGTGTTAAGATGTTGACGACAAATACATTCCTTTTGCAAAGAATCAAGTCTGTATTAACCACACGTGTTTTATTTGTATGAACTCCCTCGCCTCGTATGCAAGAAGGTCGTGGGTTAGATGCCGACCCTGACGCCTGTTGTATATTTGGAACGTGCGCGTCTCTCCCCCTGGTCGCGTGGAGTTTTCTCCCGGCTCCTTTGGTTTTCCCCCTAAACGTTTAGAATCAACACACGTTTCGAGTATTTGGCTGCTATACATTTCCACATGATAAGCCACTTCGTTGAGCTATGATTTGTGGCCAGGGTGCTTCTGAAAAAGAGCCATATAGTTCAGTGGGCCTTACCTGGTAAAAAAAAAAAAAGTTTGGATTCTCTGTAAAGCTCTGCTTCGCTCTCCATGCCTGGAGGAAGGGAAGGCGTCTTTCCTCCCTCCTTGCCTCTTGGTGGGCCTGTATATGTATTTCTGCTGACTTTGTACCTCGTATTTGTTCACTCTATGCTGGTAGGTGCAATCCAGAGGTTGAACACGAAATTTAAGATTCTTCTGAAATTCGTGGTCCGCCAGGAAGTGTCTAACTGTGTTGTTGGCCTGACTGGTTGTGCTTCACATAATGTTTCTTAGGTTTGTTGAATTCTCGTCTCTCATCTTCTTGTTGTATTTACCTCCATGATTTGTTCTTGACACCTGATGAAGATCGCTTGTGTTGTGATCGAAACGTCGTAATTGTTTTGTTTTAATATAATTTTATTGTATTTCTACATACGTGACTTTACCGAAAAAAACAATGAGTAAGGCGTCAGCTGTTTGCTGCATGGCCTTTTGAAGAATGCTGACTAATGGCTCGCCATTAGCCTCCTGTCAATGCATCGTCGATCTATGGATTTATATTTTCCATTACGCGTCGAACTCAAGGTTTTCAACAGTAGACTTTGAAATCGGTGAAAGTTGTGCGGAGTTCTTACACTCGAGCTAATTGAGGAGGCGAGAGAGAAGGAATGCTATAAAGTATATCTTTTTTCCTTTAGGCGCTTTTGTCAATTGTTGCTGGATGAAGGCAGTTTGACCATACTTCACCAGGCTGGCCAGTGCAGATTGAATACGTTCAGTCGATGAATTCGATGCGCATCCTCAGTGGTGTAGCGGTTGGCTCTCGCTGCGTTACGAACCCGGCAACCCGAGTTCGATTGCCACTTGCAGCCCAACACCGGTGACGAATGTCTGCACCGGTCCCAGGGCCTTAGGTCATCTCGACCTTAAATGAGTACCTGGTGCGGCTAGTAAGCATCAGCACTAGGGAGGCAAAGACGACCGGGCGTGGTGTTAATCACCCACCCACCCGCCTCGGGCACCGTGCCAGCCTTCATTGGTACCCGCGCACAGCACTGGGCCCCCAACAGTCTATTCAAGAGGCCCTACGGGGTGGAGGGGAGGCAGCGATGAACGTTGTTGCCTGTTGAACTTCTTTCGCACCGTACGTAGCCCAGCGTTCTGATCTGTGCGTCGTTGCGGCACTTTTGTAAGATCGGTGAGAAGGAGGCAATGGCGTCTCCGCTGGGGGTCGGGGGTCCGGCGCACGAAGCCGACCAGGTGACGCTGCCCTACGCGTCCGTGCAGCGCCTCGTGGGCGAGCTGGTGCCGTGCCTGCGCCTGACGGCGGGCGCACGAGACCTGCTGCGCGTGGCGTGCACGCGCTTCGTGCGCCACGTGTCCAGCGAGGCGAACACGGCGTGCGCGCATGCGCAGCGCAAGACCATCTCCCCTGAGCACGTCATCCAGGGTACACACGGCTCCAGCACTGGAGCACTGTGTGTGTGTGTGTGTAACACTGGGGCACTGTGTGTGTGTGTAACACTGGGGCACTGTGTGTGTGTGTAACACTGGAGCACTGTGTGTGTGTGTAACACTGGAGCACTGTGTGTGTGAGTGTAACACTGGAGCACTGTGTGTGTGTGTAACACTGGGGCACTGTGTGTGTGTGTAACACTGGAGCACTGTGTGTGTGTGTAACACTGGAGCACTGTGTGTGTGTGTGTAACACTGGGGCACTCTGTGTGTGTGTAACACTGGGGCACTCTGTGTGTGTGTAACACTGGGGCCCTATGTGTGTGTGAGTGTAACACTGGAGCACTGTGTGTGTGTGTAACACTGGAGCACTGTGTGTGTGTGTGAGTGTAACACTGGGGCACTGTGTGTGTGTGTGTAACACTGGGGCACTGTGTGTAACACTGGAGCACTGTGTGTGTGTGTAACACTGGAGCACTGTGTGTGTGAGTGTAACACTGGGGCACTGTGTGTGTGTGTAACACTGGAGCACTGTGTGTGTGTGTAACACTGGAGCACTGTGTGTGTAACACTGGAGCACTGTGTGTGTGTGAGTGTAACACTGGGGCACTCTGTGTGTGTGTGAGTGTAACACTGGGGCACTGTGTGTGTAACACTGGAGCACTGTGTGTGTAACACTGGAGCACTGTGTGTGTAACACTGGAGCACTGTGTGTGTGTAACACTGGATCACTGTGTGTGTGTAACACTGGAGCACACTCTGTGTGAGTGTAACACTGGGGCACTCTGTGTGTGTAACACTGGAGCACACTCTGTGTGAGTGTAACACTGGGGCACTGTGTGTGTGTAACACAGGGGCACTGTGTGTGTGTGTAACACTGGGGCACTGTGTGTGTAACACTGGAGCACTGTGTGTGTGTGTGTAACACTGGAGCACTGTGTGTGTGTGTGTAACACTGGAGCACTGTGTGTGTGTAACACTGGAGCACTGTGTGTGTGAGTGTAACACTGGGGCACTGTGTGTGAGTGTAACACTGGAGCACTGTGTGTGTGTAACACTGGGGCACTGTGTGTGTGTGTGCAACACTGGAGCACTGTGTGTGTGTGTGTAACACTGGAGCACTGTGTGTGTGTGTAACACTGGAGCACTGTGTGTGTGTGTAACACTGGAGCACTGTGTGTGTGTGTAACACTGGAGCACTGTGTGTGTGTGAGTATAACACTGGGGCACTCTGTGTGTGTGTGTGAGTGTAACACTGGGGCACTCTGTGTGTGTGTGTGAGTGTAACACTGGAGCACTGTGTGTGTGTGTAACACTGGGGCACTGTGTGTGTAACACTGGAGCACTGTGTGTGTGTGTAACACTGGAGCACTGTGTGTGTGTGTAACACTGGAGCACTGTGTGTGTGCAACACTGGAGCACTGTGTGTGTGAGTGTAACACTGGGGCACTCTGTGTGTGTGTGTTAACACTGGAGCACTGTGTGTGTGTAACACTGGGGCACTGTGTGTTTGTAACACTGGAGCACTGTGTGTGTGTGTAACACTGGAGCACTGTGTGTGTGTGTGTAACACTGGGAGCACTCTGTGTGTGTGTGTAACACTGGGGGCACTGTGTGTGTGTGTAACACTGGAGCACTGTGTTGTGTGTAACACTGGAGCACTGTGTGTGTGTGTAACACTGGAGCACTGTGTGTGTGTAACACTGGAGCACTGTGTGTGTGTAACACTGGAGCACTGTGTGTGTGTAACACTGGAGCACTGTGTGTGTGTAACACTGGAGCACTGTGTGTATGTGTGTAACACTGGAGCACTGTGTGTATGTGTGTAACACTGGATCACTGTGTGTGTGTGTAACACTGGAGCACTGTTTGTGTGAGTGTAACACTGGGGCACTGTGTTTGTGTGTGTAACACTGGAGCACTGTGTGTGTGTAACACTGGATCACTGTGTGTGTGTGTGTAACACTGGAGCACTGTGTGTGTGTGTAACACTGGAGCACTGTATGTGTGAGTGTAACACTGGGGCACTGTGTGTGTGTAACACTGGAGCACTGTGTGTGTGTGTGTGTAACACTGGAGCACTGTGTGTGTAACACTGGAGCACTGTGTGTGTAAGACTGGAGCACTGTGTGTGTGTGTGAGTATAACACTGGGGCACTCGGTGTGTGTGTGAGTGTAACACTGGGGCACTCTGTGTGTGTGTGTAACACTGGAGTACTGTGTGTGTAACACTGGATCACTGTGTGTGTGTAACACTGGATCACTGTGTGTGTAACACTGGAGCACTCTGTGTGTGAGTGTAACACTGGAGCACTCTGTGTGTGAGTGTAACACTGGGGCACTGTGTGTGTGTAACACTGGGGCACTGTGTGTGTGTAACACTGGGACACTGTGTGTGTGTGTAACACTGGAGCACTGTGTGTGTAACACTGGAGCACTGTGTGTGTGAGTATAACACTGGAGCACTGTGTGTATGTGAGTATAACACTGGGGCACTCTGTGTGTGTGTGTGAGTGTAACACTGGGGCACTCTGTGTGTGTAACACTGGGGCACTGTGTGTGTGTAACACTGGAGCACTCTGTGTGTGTGTGTAACACTGGAGCACTGTGTGTGTGTAACACTGGAGCACTGTGTGTGTGTGTAACACTGGGGCACTGTGTGTGTGTGTAACACTGGAGCACTGTGTGTGTAACACTGGAGCACTGTGTGTGTGTGTGTGTAACACTGGAGCACTGTGTGTGTGTAACACTGGAGCACTGTGTGTGTGTAACACTGGATCACTGTGTGTGTGTGTGACAATGGATCACTGTGTGTGTGTGTGACAATGGATCACTGTGTGTGTGTGTAACACTGGAGCACTGTTTGTGTGTGTGTAACACTGGAGCACTGTGTGTGTGTAACACTGGATCACTGTGTGTGTGTGTAACACTGGAGCACTGTGTGTTGATGTAACACTGGAGCACTGTGTGTGTGTGTAACACTGGAGCACTGTGTGTATGTAACACTGGGGCACTGTGTGTGTGTGTAACACTGGAGCACTGTGTGTGTAACACTGGAGCACTGTGTGTGTGTGTGTAACACTGGAGCACTGTGTGTGTAACACTGGAGCACTGTGTGTGTGTGTAACACTGGAGCACTGTGTGTGTGTGTAACACTGGAGCACTGTGTGTGTGTGTAACACTGGAGCACTGTGTGTGTGTGTGTAACACTGGAGCACTGTGTGTGTGTGTAACACTGGGGCACTGTGTGTGTGTAACACTGGGGCACTGTGTGTGTGTGTAACACTGGGGCACTGTGTGTGTGTGTAACACTGGAGCACTGTGATTGTAACACTGGAGCACTGTGATTGTAACACTGGAGCACTGTGATTGTAACACTGGAGCACTGTGTGTGTGTGTGTAACACTGGAGCACTGTGTGTGTGTGTGTAACACTGGAGCACTGTGTGTGTGTGTAACACTGGAGCACTGTGTGTGTGTGTGTGTAACACTAGAGCACTGTGTGTGTGTGTGTGTAACACTGGAGCACTGTGTGTGTGTGTGTGTGTAACACTGGAGCACTGTGTGTGTGTAACACTGGAGCAGTGTGTGTGTGTGTAACACTGGAGCACTGTGTGTGTAACACTGGAGCACTGTGTGTGTAAGACTGGAGCACTGTGTGTGTGTGAGTATAACACTGGGGCACTCTGTGTGTGTGTGAGTGTAACACTGGGGCACTCTGTGTGTGTGTGTAACACTGGAGTACTGTGTGTGTAACACTGGATCACTGTGTGTGTGTAACACTGGATCACTGTGTGTGTAACACTGGAGCACTCTGTGTGTGAGTGTAACACTGGGGCACTGTGTGTGTGTAACACTGGGGCACTGTGTGTGAGTGTAACACTAGAGCACTGTGTGTGTGTAACACTGGGGCACTGTGTGTGTGTAACACTGGAACACTGTGTGTGTGTGTAACACTGGAGCACTGTGTGTGTAACACTGGAGCACTGTGTGTGTGAGTATAACACTGGAGCACTGTGTGTATGTGAGTATAACACTGGGGCACTCTGTGTGTGTGTGTGAGTGTAACACTGGGGCACTCTGTGTGTGTAACACTGGGGCACTGTGTGTGTGTGTAACACTGGAGCACTCTGTGTGTGTGTGTAACACTGGAGCACTGTGTGTGTGTAACACTGGAGCACTGTGTGTGTGTGTAACACTGGAGCACTGTGTGTGTGCAACACTGGAGCACTGTGTGTGTGAGTGTAACACTGGGGCACTCTGTGTGTGTGTGTGTAACACTGGAGCACTGTGTGTGTAACACTGGGGCACTGTGTGTTTGTAACACTGGAGCACTGTGTGTGTGTGTGTAACACTGGGAGCACTGTGTGTGTGTGTGTAACACTGGAGCACTCTGTGTGTGTGTGTAACACTGGGACACTGTGTGTGTGTGTAACACTGGAGCACTGTGTGTGTGTAACACTGGAGCACTGTGTGTGTGTGTAACACTGGAGCACTATGTGTGTGTAACACTGAGCACTGTGTGTGTGTAACACTGGAGCACTGTGTGTGTGTAACACTGGAGCACTGTGTGTGTGTAACCACTGGAGCACTGTGTGTATGTGTGTAACACTGGAGCACTGTGTGTATGTGTGTAACACTGGATCACTGTGTGTGTGTGTAACACTGGAGCACTGTGTGTGTGAGTGTAACACTGGGAGCACTGTGTGTGTGGTTGTAACACTGGAGCACTGTGTGTGTGTAACACTGGATCACTGTGTGTGTGTGTGTAACACTGGATCACTGTGTGTGTGTGTGTAACACTGGAGCACTGTATGTTGAGTGTAACACTGGTGCACTGGTGTGTGTGTAACACTGGAGCACTGTGTGTGTGTGTGTGTAACACTGGAGCACTGTGTGGTGTAACACTGGAGCACTGTGGGTGTGATGTAAACAGTGGAGCACTGTGTGTGTGTGTGAGTATAACACTGGGCGCACTCGGTGTTGTGTGAGTGTAACACTGGGCACTCTGTGTGTGTGTGTAACACTGGAGTACTGTGGGTGTAACAACTGGATCACTGTGTGTGTGGAACACTGGATCACTGTGTGGTGTAACACTGGAGCACTCTGTTGTGTGAGTGTAACACTGGGGCACTGTGTGTGTGTAACACTGGGGCACTGTGGTGTGTAGTGTAACACTAGGAGCACTGTGTGTGTGTAACACTGGGGCACTGTGTGTGTGTAACACTGGGAGCACTGTGTGTGTGTGTAACACTGGAGCACTGTGTGTGTAACACTGGAGCACTGTGTGTGTGTGAGTATACCCTGGAGCACTGTGTGGTATGTGAGTATAACACTGGGGCACTCTGTGTGTGTGTGTGTGTGTAAC